CAATACATGTGTACCATGTCAAGTCGTATGATCAAGACCTATACACGAGTACCATGTCAAGTCGTATGATCAAGACCAATACATGTGTACCATGTCAAGTCGTTTGATCAAGACCTATACATGTGTACCATGTCAAGTCGTATGATCAAGACCAATACATGTGTACCATGTCAAGTCGTATGATCAAGACCAATACATGTGTACCATGTCAAGTGGTGTGATCAAGACCAATACATGTGTACTGTGTCAAGTGGTGTGATCAAGACTAATACATGTGTACAATGTCAAGTCGTGTGATCAAGACCTATACATGAGTACTGTGTCAAGTCGTGTGATCAAAACCAATACATGTGTACTGTGTCAAGCCGTCACGGTGTGATCAAGACAAATACATGTGTACTATGTCAAGTCGTGTGATCAAGACCAATACATGTGTACTATGTCAAGTCGTGTGATCAAGACCTATACATGTGTACTGTGTCAAGTCGTGTGATCAAAACCAATACATGTGTACTGTGTCAAGTCGTGTGATCAAGACCTATACATGTGTACTATGTCAAGTCGTGTGATCAAGACCTATACATGTGTACTTTGTCAAGTCGTGTGATCAAGACCAATACATGTGTACCATGTCAAGTCGTGTGATCAAGACCTATACATGTGTACCATGTCAAGTCGTGTGATCAAGACCAATATTTGTGTACTATGTCAAGTGGTGTGATCAAGACCAATACATGTGTACCATGTCAAGTGGTGTGATCAAGACTAATACATGTGTACCATGTCAAGTCGTGTGATCAAGACCTATACATGTGTACTATGTCAAGTCGTGTGATCAAGACCAATACATGTGTACTATGTCAAGTGGTGTGATCAAGACCAATACATGTGTACCATGTCAAGTGGTGTGATCAAGACCATTTCATGTGTACTATGTCAAGTCGTGTGATCAAGACCAATACATGTGTACTGTGTCAAGTCGTGTGATCAAGACCAATACATGTGTGCCATGTCAAGTCGTGTGATCAAGACCAATACATGTGTACTATGTCAAGTCGTGTGATCAAGACCAATACATGTGTACTATGTCAAGTCGTGTGATCAAGTCCAATACATGTGTACTGTGTCAAGTCGTGTGATCAAGACCAATACATGTGTACTGTGTCAAGTCGTGTGATCAAGACCAATACATGTGTGCCATGTCAAGTCGTGTGATCAAGACCAATACATGTATACTGTGTCATGTCGTGTGATCAAGACCAATACATGTGTACTATGTCAAGTCGTGTGATCAAGACTAATACATGTGTACCATGTCAAGTCGTGTGATCAAGACCTATACATGTGTACTGTGTCAAGTCGTGTGAACAAGACCAATACATGTGTACCATGTCAAGTCGTGTGATCAAGACTAATACATGTGTACCATGTCAAGTGGTGTGATCAAGACCTATACATGTGTACTGTGTCAAGTCGTGTGAACAAGACCAATACATGTGCACCATGTCAAGTCGTGTGATCAAGACTAATACATGTGTACTGTTCCAAGTCGTGTGATCAAGTCCAATACATGTGTACTGTTCCAAGTCGTGTGATCAAGTCCAATACATGTGTACTGTTCCAAGTCGTGTGATCAAGACCTATACATGTGTACTGTGTCAAGTCGTGTGATCAAGACCAATACATGTGTACTGTGTCAAGTCGTGTGATCAAGACCTATACATGTGTACTGTGTCAAGTCGTGTGATCAAGACCTATACATGTGTACCATGTCAAGTCGTGTGATCAAGACCAATACATGTGTACTATGTCAAGTCGTGTGATCAAGACCAATACATGTGTACCATGTCAAGTGGTGTGATCAAGACTAATACATGTGTACCATGTCAAGTCGTGTGATCAAGACCTATACATGTGTACTGTGTCAAGTCGTGTGATCAAGACCAATACATGTGTACAATGTCAAGTCGTGTGATCAAGACCAATACATGTGTACCATGTCAAGTCGTGTGATCAAGACTAATACATGTGTGCCGTGTCAAGTCGTGTGATCAAGACCAATACATGTGTACTGTTCCAAGTCGTGTGATCAAGACCAATACATGTGTACTGTGTCAAGTCGTGTGATCAAGACCAATACATGTGTGCCATGTCAAGTCGTGTGATCAAGACCAATACATGTGTACTGTGTCATGTCGTGTGATCAAGACCAATACATGTGTACCATGTCAAGTTGTGTGATCAAGACCATTTCATGTGTACTGTGTCATGTTGTGTGATCAAGGCCTATACCTGTGTACTGTGTCAAGTCGTGTGATCAGGACCTATACATGTGTACTATGTCAAGTCGTGTGATCAAGACCTGCGTATGTGTACTATGTCATGTCGTGTGATCAAGACCAATATATGTGTACCATGTAAAGCCGTGTGATCAAGACCAATATATGTGTACCATGTCAAACCGTGTGATCAAGACCAATATATGTGTACCATGTCAAGTCGTGTAGTCCAGGCAGTGAGAAATCATGAATGAGAACTATATAGTGTAGCCAGGTGTTTATCTTGGAAGTTGTTTATCGGTCTTCAAGAATGCACGAACGCAGTGTTCTTAGACACGGAAACCGTGAGTACAGTCTACAGTTGGACATGAAAATGAACTTTGAAAATGCTAAATACTTGAGTGCCTCATGCATGTAGCTGAAGGGTCATGTGACGGGATTGAATTTTTCTGAGTGAGTTGGATTTATCGACGCTATGAACAGTATATCAGTTATATCGCGGCGTGCTACCTTCATCACGGTTTTGATGGCTTTGATTGCTAATTATTTTTCCACATAATCCCTCCGAGATTCACACACTGTTGCCAACGACGCTGGAGTGCCTGAGTCCCGCTGTTGTAGAAAGCTTAGTTCTGGTTTCGTAAAAAGTCTTCCACGATACAAATAACGTCTTCATCATTCGCATAAGGCTTGCGGGACAGTTGTATATTCATGTTTGGGAAGAAGTGAGTGAGTGACCTGGGTTTAACGCCGCTTTTAACAGTATTCCAGTTACATCACGGCGTGTCAGCTTAATGTGGGAGGAAAGCCCGAAGTGATGCAGGTCTCAGACGTTTACCACTTCAGTGAAATCCACGAGCACGGGTATGGTGCTGACAAACCTAGAAACATAATCGGGGCGAACCCACAATCATAGGTTTCTGGCTAGCCCAAGGGACTTGGGAAGAAGTGGATACGGAGGATGTTCAGTGCATTCCATGCATTAGAGCCACATCCATGCATTACAGCCATGACGACAACAGATTTGTGCATAGGTGCATTGTCTTGGTGGAACAACACACCACGTTTCCACGGCGTTAAGCCTTGATATTCTCACGCAGCTGACTTTGCAATTATAATAAAGCGACAAACCCTTTCCATGTCCAGTAGAAGCCTCTGTACAAAGCAGAGTCAATTGTACAATTCCGACTATATCATGGGCATGTGTTTATGAATCACTATCAAATAATGATGATACCAGGTGGTCGCGAAAAGGTAAGCGTATCCTGCCCCACCGGTGTTACCCGTCACAAATACATGCAAAGGCAAGTCAAACATATTCACCTAAAAAAACAAGGGAACATATGTAACAAGTCAAAATAGGGAATTGCATAGGGCATCATTTTGTCACTGATGCGTCAAATTTGAAAATGTCCTCTACATGGCTACCATAAAACGTTTTGAAAGGTTTACTGAGGCCTTGAATGTTGTAAGCTTCATCAAACAACTTCTGAGCAAGAGATGTATCAGATTAGCATCAAGACCATTAAGTGGCTGAACGTTCGGGAAGTAGACCATCAATAGCATTTCCTTGTAATCCAAGAAAATCATACCCGCTACATTGCCAGATGATTGAACAGACTTTTTTTCCGGGGGAGGACTTGCTTGAGTGTTGTTTAGTCTCTGGTTGATAGTGGTGAACTCTAAACACAACTATGTTTAGGAATCAGCTAGGTCTGCGTCAAAACGACGTCAATTCTCACGAGAGATGAAGAACCTAGTGCTCTGTTTATCAGGAGTCCAAAGCATTTGAACCCAGCGTGCTGAAACCTGTGTCCTGTCAACTTCATTCCCCAGAATGTTCTTAACTTTCTCCTGAGAGTTGTCTTCTGTATTGACTATGTGACGTGTGGCTAGTCGTCAATCACCCTTAATCAAATCAAAACGTTTATTTAATCAACATTATCCTCAGTGGTTGCAGTTGAAGGTCTTCCTGAACTTGGATTATCTTCGAGGTTCTCTCTTCCCCTCTTCATCTCCTCTGCCTATATATTTACAACAGCAAAAGAATGGGCATCACCCTCTGACGTTGCCACCATGTCCACATGGCCGTTGGAGGTGGCCCTTTCAGCTGGAGATACACGTGTACTTCCTGACAGCGAGAAGCCAATTCTTTCCATTTTCATTAACAGATACGCCTGATCACTTTGAGTGATCGAGTTCAGATTAAACGTAACATTGGCAATATTTCAACCATATCGTGACGAGTAGTCACTCTGATGCCTGCAGAACGATGCTACCTGGTTGTGTATTTGATTAAAATGAAGTGTGTATGCATGGAAAGTAGAGAGCGTGTACATGTTGTTGAGGGTAACATCCTTCTCAACAAGGCTCAGGATCTTTCAGCATCCCCTCGTGTTTAGTAATTATTGTGATGCTTTGTGTACACCACTATATGTAGAATTCCTGGCTTTTAAATTGTTTGCATTCCGCCACATGTTATTAGAAGCTAATAAATTGATGAAAAGGTAAAGACCCATCGTTGCATAACAAAAGTATCATTACATAAAAAAAAACATGTGAACAATCTACCGGGGAGTTGCTTCCACATGAAAATAGCACTGTACAAACTCCAATTGAAATACATCATGGTGAAGACCCGTGGTCGATGTGGGAGGCTGGACGGTGGAAGGGAGGTAACTCTGATCCGCTATATTGAAGTATTTCATATTTTCATATTTTCTCGATGTGAAACAGCTGATCCATGCCGTTGTATTACAGATGGGCACCAGCCTCCGTCTCCTGGTGATTCAGGCGGTGTTTATCGTCGTCCTTGCAGGACAGGAAACAGGTACCGCGTGTCCATCACAATACACCTTCACTTTCGGCGTTCAATGTCTTCGTGGTAGAGATGTAGATGGTGTAAAGAAATTGTCATTAGTGTCAGTATTGTTGTTATATACGTGTGTTTTTGTGTATTTGTTTGTGTGTGTGGTGTTTGTGTGTGTCAGTGTATGTGTTTGTATGTGTGTGTAAGTGTATGTGTTTGTATGTGTGTGTAAGTGAATGTGTTTGTGTATATGTGTTTGTATTTGTTTGCATGTATGTGTATGTGTGTGTATGTGCTTCCGCTCGTGTGTGCGTGTCTGCGTCTGTGTGAGTGTACGCGTATGTGTCTGTGTGAATGTGTATGTCAGTCAGTGTGTGTATGTATGTGTATGTGTGTTTTCGATTCATGCATATTTGTGTGTATGTGTTTGTATCTGTGGGTCTATGTATGTGTTTGTGTTTGTATATGTTAGTGTGTATATGTCAGTGTGTGTTGTTGTGTTTGTGTTTATGTGTATGTATGTGTGTTCGTTTCTGTGTGTATATGTTTGTGTGTATGGGATTGTTTGCAACCGAGAGTTTGTCAGAGTGTGGGTATATGTTTGTATGTGGATGTACGGTGTGTGTGTGTGTGTGTGTGTGTGTGTGTGTGTGTGTGTGTGAGAGAGAGAGAGAGAGAGAGAGAGAGAGAGAGAGAGAGAGAGAGAGAGAGAGAGAGAGAGAGAGAGAGAGTGTATCTGAGACTTTGGCAGTGTGTGTATTTTGTGTGTGTGTGTGTGTGTATGTCTGCGTCTCTGTGAGTGTTTGTGTATATGTGTATATGTGTGTGTAATTGTGTTAGAAATTACATGTACATCGAATGGTAAAGACGTATTTAAAGAATTAAAATTGATTATGCTATTAGTGTCATAATAATATGTGTCGCTGTGCAAGTTCGAATCCCAGATGCCCCCTGGTCATCATGCCTGACGGCACCAGGAGATACTTTGTTAGTTCGCTGGATATCTCTAATTCATGGGGCTTATTGTTGTTTTGCAGGAAAACAGAGAAGGATTCTCTTTTCCCCAACTAGTGAGTGCACTTTATATTATAGTTGTAAATATGTAAATACAGATAGAGGCACTTATGAAAATGTATTCTTTCCCACCGTCACTCGATGAGAGAGAGGGGGACACGAGTTTTCACTCGACACATGAAATATCCTATCTATTATATACTTTTTATGTAGTTATATTACCTATCGGAAATTCCCTTGTAAGTGTGATTTAAATCCTAGTTCCATATTTGCAAAATCTCAAACAAAATATACAAAAGTAACAGAAAATATTTGATGTTATTCATTTCGACATGATTATATACAAAATCAATTCTCGCTGGTCAAGTAACAAATGTGGCGCTTTGTGAAACGAACAGTCTCGATTGACGCTTTAAATGAGAAATTTACAATACAATACGAAACATTCTCAAAAAGATAACAAACTGCACGAAGCGATATAAACTCGATAAATGAACACGATTTTTCATTCGACACATGAAATATCCTATTTATTATATACTTTTTGTGTAGTTATATTATCTATCGGAAAATATACAAATGGAATTGAAATTGACAATACAATACGAAACATTCTCATCTGACTATCTGTCAACGTGAAACTAACGTAAATAGGACGCCAACAGTTTGTGTACAGCCTACTGTAGACACGTGATAAAGGGGAGATAATTTGCGGGCAGGTAACTCTTGTAAGGCTATAGTTAAACGTCCAAGTTTTTTGTTCTCTGTAATGAACATATTTACGTATAAATAAGAGTCATTATTGTAGGACTTGAACAGTACAATTTTCTAAAACGAATGACATAGATTTAGCGCATGAGGCTTTACTGGTCGATGGTTCGTATCCAAGATATTTCAGGTTTGTCAACACCCTACCCGTCGGTTTTACCAAAATGATGAACGTGCTCGACCTGCACGACCTGTACGCCTGTCGACGTTTGACTCAAATCCAGCTGTAACGCCGTCAAATCTTTATTGACCCAGCTCGTACGATTGAAATATGTTGACAGAATACAACCACCTTTCTCAATGCCTTTCTTTTTCAAATCGCGACCAGATTCATTGAGATACGGGTTAGAATTGGTCTTCACAAAACCCATGCTTGTCGTAAGAGGCGACTAACAGGATCGGGTGGTCAGGCTCGCTGACTTGGTTGATGCATGTCATTGTATCCCAATTGCTTGGAATGATGTCAATCTCTGGATTGTCGGATCCAGACTCGATTAAATTATGTACAGACAAACATCATATAGCTGGAATATTGCAGAGTGCGGCGTAAACAACAAACAAGTCATATCACCGACCTTTGATATTTATTCCAGTGTTTACCTGCCCCAAACTAACTGTGGTCCACGGCAGTGTGAAGTGCACCCATAGCAACGCTATAACATCACAATGCACTACCACGTGTGCCACAGGTTATAAAGCGGTCCATTCCAAAATCACCTGCACCTACCATGCAGAACTAAAGAAATCCGCTTGGTCGGCCACACCATCATGTAAAGGTTGGTACCTCGCCGATAAACCAAACCATGCACCGCTCAAAGGACCTAGGATTCTCCTTTATAATGTTTCTAGGTTTTTCAGCACCATAGCCGTGTTTTTGAAATATGGTACCAATGTTTGGATTTTTCACCATGTTGTAAATGTCTTTGATCTGCACCACCTCGTGACACGCCGTGATATGACTGACACACTGGCGGCGTTATACCAAACTCACTCCCACATCAAGCTGACACGCCGTGATATAACTGAAATATTGCTCAAAGCGGCGTTATACCAAACTCACTCCCACATCAAGCTGACACGCCGTGATGTAACTGAAATATTGTCCAAGGCGGCGTTATATCAAACTCACTCCCACACCAAGCTGACACGCCGTGATATAACTGAAATATTGTTCAAAGCGGCGTTATATCAAACTCACTCCCACACCAAGCTGACACGCCGTGATGTAACTGAAATATTGTCCAAGGCGGCGTTATATCAAACTCACTCCCACATCAAGCTGACACGCCGTGATATAACTGAAATATTGTCCAAGGCGGCGTTATATCAAACTCACTCACTCCCACATCAAGCTGACACGTCGTGATATAACTGAAATATTGTCCAAGGCGGCGTTATATCAAACACACTCACTCCCACATCAAGCTGACACGTCGTGATATAACTGAAATATTGTCCAAGGCGGCGTTATATCAAACACACTCACTCCCACACCAAGCTGACACGCCGTGATATAACTGAAATATTGTCCAAGGCGGCGTTATATCAAACACACTCACTCCAACATCAAGCTGACACGTCGTGATATAACTGAAATATTGTCCAAGGCGGCGTTATATCAAACTCACTCACTCCCACACCAAGCTGACACGCCGTGATATAACTGAAATATTGTCCAAGGCGGCGTTATATCAAACACACTCACTCCCACATCAAGCTGACACGTCGTGATATAACTGAAATATTGTCCAAGGCGGCGTTATATCAAACACACTCACTCCCACATCAAGCTGACACGTCGTGATATAACTGAAATATTGTCCAAGGCGGCGTTATATCAAACTCACTCACTCCCACATCAAGCTGACACGTCGTGATATAACTGAAATATTGTCCAAGGCGGCGTTATATCAAACTCACTCACTCCCACATCAAGCTGACACGTCGTGATATAACTGAAATATTGTTTAAGATGGCGTTATACCAAACTCACTCACTCCCACATCAAGCTGACACTTAATATTAAACCTTCAGTTTGGTTTGATAAACAGGAAAGCATGTCCTCGACAGCAGAGTCGGGATCTATGTAAGGATTAATTCCAATATTATTAATTCAAATGTCTCTTCAATGTTTATAGCCACCACTTGTCCAAAACCGCCATCCGTCTCCCAAGGAGCTCTACACTGTCCATCGTCGACCCACGTGATTGGTCAAGTGTGTACACTTTCCTGTAGCACTGGGTACCGGTACACTAGTTCCAACACCGCTTACCATTCCATACGATGTCTCAGCACAGGGGCCTGGTCTACACACACCAGTTGTAAAGGTAGGCAGGTGCCTTGGTAGATACTTGTCTTGTGCAGGGAGACAGGTATCTTGTACATGTAGGCAGTTGTTGTGTGCCAGGATCTGCTGATCTCACTCACTCACTCCACTCACATATTACCTAACCACAACCTAGAACCCTCTTTCAGAGGTGTAGCCCACACTCTGAAAGTAAGGCACCTTATCGCCAGCACACAAACTCACTCGGCCACCAAGGCTTGTACAAAATGGAAGACCGACAACTGGTATTCTTGATCACGTACTTTGTGTTCCCCTCTGATAAAAGTAAATTGGCAGGCTCCCATGGCTGAAAGCTATGGGTAGACAATGCCTTTCAAAAAGTCCTTCAGTATATGGGATGTTGAACTGTAAGAACATAGCACTGATACCCAATAACACCACCACCTCCTCTATAGAATATAGGTTTCATGTCTCATACATGTGTCTTTGTCTGCAACACAGAAATTCGTTGTCCGGCCCCATCAAAGATCAGTCATGGGTCCTACCTCTGCTCTCCTTCAACCGTGCACACATACGGTCAGAAGTGCAGCTTGACCTGCTCTACGGGATTCAAACCCAGTACTTCTACCCACAGCATCTCATGTCTGGCCACATCCAAGTGGTCGACCTCGGCATCATGTGTTGGTACGTAGGGTCTCAGTATTTCTTCGATTTTCTTAGTTTATATTAACTAGTTTCAATGCATGTTTTACCACTGAACTGATTGTTTTAGCGACTTTTGTAGTTTTGACCGTTTGATTGGTTGCCATGAGCAGATGCTACAAGAACCTTGTTTATGACAATGACGATGACGTCATTTGTGATGTGGAATTTTTACACCACCAGGATGAAACTTTCTGCCACAGTGTGATCCAGGCACTCCAGCATCGTTGGCAAAGTGTTAAGATAATTATCAATCAACTTCATCAAAGCAGTCTACCACAGTTCGGCTCAGAACAATTCAGTCACCCCGCGTATATAATTGAGGATCAAGTTGAATAATGATATTGAGATTGATTCTTGACTTGTTGTGCCCTTCACTTTTGTATAATTTGCAGCCTTCTTCATTTGAAACCACGGCGTCCGAAAGTAACACCAGGACCCGGAATCCACTCAGTTCAGAGTCCACCTGTCCACTAGTTGGGCTCAGAACGTCTCAGCCACCACAAGAATATTGTTGAGTTTGGTTGGATCCTATGTTGGAGGGTCGACAGGGATGGGTTGGTCGTCAAACCAAACCCTGGTAGTACTGGAGGTGCAAAATGAGCTCAGCTTCAAAGTCTTGTATTTCCAGAGATAAGATGTCCGACTCCACCCAAGGTAACTGCAGGAACATACCAGTGTACGTCATCGTTGAACCACAAGCTGAACGACGCCTGTCACCTTCACTGCAGTGCTGGCTACAAGCCAAGCTCCACGCGATCTGACATCAAATGTCTGTCCACCTCAGCGTGGTCAGCTCCGGCCAAGTGTGTGGGTGAGTATATAAGATGTCTGTCCACCTCAGCGTGGTCAGCTCCGGCCAAGTGTGTGGGTGAGTATATTAGATGTATGTCCTCCTCAGCGTGGTCAGCTCCGGCCAAGTGTGTGGGTGAGTATATAAGATGTATGTCCTCCTCAGCGTGGTCAGCTCCGGCCAAGTGTGTGGGTGAGTATATAAGATGTCTGTCCACCTCAGCGTGGTCAGCTCCTGCCAAGTGTGTGGGTGAGTATATAAGATGTCTGTCCACCTCAGCGTGGTCAGCTCCGGCCAAGTGTGTGGGTGAGTATATAAGATGTCTGTCCTCCTCAGCGTGGTCAGCTCCGGCCAAGTGTGTGGGTGAGTATATAAGATGTATGTCCTCCTCAGCCTGGTCAGGTCCGGCCAAGTGTGTGGGTGAGTATAGATATCTGTCCACCTCAGCGTGGTCAGCTCCGGCCAAGTGTGTGGGTGAGTATATAAGATGTATGTCCTCCTCAGCGTGGTCAGGTCCGGCCAAGTGTGTGGGTGAGTATATAAGATGTATGTCCTCCTCAGCGTGGTCACCTCCTGCCAAGTGTGTGGGTGAGTATATAAGATGTATGTCCACCTCAGCGTGGTCAGCTCCGGCCAAGTGTGTGGGTGAGTATATAAGATGTATGTCCTCCTCAGCGTGGTCAGCTCCGGCCAAGTGTGTGGGTGAGTATATAAGATGTATGTCCTCCTCAGCGTGGTCACCTCCTGCCAAGTGTATGGGTGAGTATATAAGATGTATGTCCACCTCAGCGTGGTCAGCTCCGGCCAAGTGTGTGGGTGAGTATATAAGATGTATGTCCACCTCAGCGTGGTCAGCTCCGGCCAAGTGTGTGGGTGAGTATATAAGATGTATGTCCTCCTCAGCGTGGTCAGCTCCGGCCAAGTGTGTGGGTGAGTATATAAGATGTATGTCCACCTCAGCGTGGTCAGCTCCGGCCAAGTGTGTGGGTGAGTATATAAGATGTATGTCCTCCTCAGCCTGGTCACCTCCTGCCAAGTGTGTGGGTGAGTATATAAGATGTATGTCCACCTCAGCGTGGTCAGCTCCGGCCAAGTGTGTGGGTGAGTATATAAGATGTATGTCCACCTCAGCGTGGTCAGCTCCGGCCAAGTGTGTGGGTGAGTATATAAGATGTATGTCCACCTCAGCGTGGTCAGCTCCGGCCAAGTGTGTGGGTGAGTATATAAGATGTATGTCCACCTCAGCGTGGTCAGCTCCGGCCAAGTGTGTGGGTGAGTATATAAGATGTATGTCCACCTCAGCGTGGTCAGCTCCGGCCAAGTGTGTGGGTGAGTATATAAGATGTATGTCCACCTCAGCGTGGTCAGCTCCGGCCAAGTGTGTGGGTGAGTATATAAGATGTATGTCCACCTCAGCGTGGTCAGCTCCGGCCAAGTGTGTGGGTGAGTATATAATATATCTGTCCACCTCAGCGTGGTCAGCTCCGGCCAAGTGTGTGGGTGAGTATATAAGATGTATGTCCACCTCAGCGTGGTCAGCTCCGGCCAAGTGTGTGGGTGAGTATATAAGATGTCTGTCCACCTCAGCGTGGTCAGCTCCGGCCAAGTGTGTGGGTGAGTATATAAGATATCTGTCCACCTCAGCGTGGTCAGCTCCGGCCAAGTGTGTGGGTGAGTATATAATATATCTGTCCACCTCAGCGTGGTCAGCTCCGGCCAAGTGTTTTGGTGAGTATATAAGATATCTGTCCACCTCAGCGTGGTCAGCTCCGGCCAAGTGTGTGGGTGAGTATATAAGATGTATGTCCACCTCAGCGTGGTCAGCTCCGGCCAAGTGTTTTGGTGAGTATATAAGATATCTGTCCACCTCAGCGTGGTCAGCTCCGGCCAAGTGTGTGGGTGAGTATATAAGATGTATGTCCTCCTCAGCGTGGTCAGCTCCGGCCAAGTGTTTTGGTGAGTATATAAGATATCTGTCCACCTCAGCGTGGTCAGCTCCGGCCAAGTGTGTGGGTGAGTATATAAGATGTATGTCCACCTCAGCGTGGTCAGCTCCGGCCAAGTGTGTGGGTGAGTATATAAGATGTATGTCCACCTCAGCGTGGTCAGCTCCGGCCAAGTGTGTGGGTGAGTATATAAGATGTATGTCCACCTCAGCGTGGTCAGCTCCGGCCAAGTGTGTGGGTGAGTATATAAGATGTATGTCCACCTCAGCGTGGTCAGCTCCGGCCAAGTGTGGAAGAATATATAAGATGTCTGAACTTATAAGATGATTGGTAATATACTTACCAACAATACTTTCAGGAATATTTCAGAAGAAATAGTTTCATTTTGTTTAATTTCTATATTTTTCAAAATAATATTCTTTGATATAACTCTATGCTATTTGCCATGTCATGATACTTTAATCAACTGAAGTCACATGTAGGAATCGCGTGGCCCTAAACTTCTTTTGAGTAGTATACGTGATTTACATCAACATATTTAAATAAGAGTATGCTGTTGTAAGTAGCATATTTGAAGCTGTAGTATTAATTCATTCAATGCAAAGTTTTGGTACAGGTGCTCGAACCTTTATCAAGTAAGTGTGCATGTACATAAGCTAGCATGTATATTTATTTAGGTTCTACCTGATTAAATGAAAATCCATTTTGTTCTCTGTGCCAGAGATCATATGTCCGCCTCCAGCCAAGGTCAGCCATGGAGCCTATTGGTGCGGTTCAGCTACAACCCATAGACTGAACGATGTGTGTAACCTGCACTGTAACCCCGGGTACAGGCCAAGGTCTGCCTCCTCTGACATCCACTGCCTCCCTGCTGGTGCATGGTCCACTGCGGCTACTTGTGTTGGTCAGTTGTCAACCTTTCTATATGATGACCGACAGGATGAAAGAACCAAACATAAGAACCAACTCGCCTCGAGATACCAGGGGGAACGAGCATGTGATGTTCAGTGGTAGGGAAGAGGGAAGGTTGGATGTGGGGGGAGGGGCGGGACGAGGTTGACGTTTGTGGCTGTGTGTTGTGGGAGGTAGGGGGTGGAGAAGTGGGTTGGGAGGGTAGGGGGTTGAGAGGGGTAGGATGTAAAAAATATACTTTTCTCTAGATAACAAAGGGTAAAAATAAGTTCGCCTTCGGCTTTACATAAAATATTCGATGGACATGCTATACGAGAACACGAAATATCAAAAAGATTGCAATCATGATTAAGTATTTAATACCAATATACTGTCAGAAGAGTCTTGAATAAACATAAGAACGATACAGGATGACCGTAAAAGCTACAAGCTCAAAGAGTCATGGGACTTTCATATGTATAGTGACGTTTCAGGGGACCAGAAGACATGACACTTGAATGGTCATCCACTTCTTTATAATCTGTAAGGCGTTTCAGTGTCACGTCTTGCCCTTCATCACTTTCCATGGCTTAACATGGGAAATGTGGAACGAACGTACATCCAGTGCCCTTCAGAGGACATGGACTTGGGTTATAGGTTCGACGACGTGTCCGTGATTGTTGGTGTCACTGTAATGATTCAGGGGGATACATGGTCTACATACATGATGCCATAGTGTCACAGGACCTCGATTGTGTGAACATAAGGCCATGTTTGCAGGAAATCAAGAACTGGTCAAAGCTCCTATATCCAGTAAGAAGAAACCTTTTAGTAAATAAACTCACGTGTCTACTTCTGTCAAGCAATTAATAAAGGGAAATATCCCAGGTATTGTGGTACATTGCGATTTTGAGTTAACCGTAGTGATCATAAACAGATGCTCATAATATAACAGTGGCACATGGGTCTGTGCAAAGGCCACACATAAGGTGAAGTTAAGTAACGTTGGTCGCGGGGAATAGTTTGGCGGGTACCGGCAACTTGAATCCTGAGCGTTTTGGGGGTTTCGGTCCTGCCTCACGGTGAGTGTTAACCTTCTAGCGCAGGCAGTTTGGGTTGTATACTCCCCAGGGAGATGAGAATGGAAATCGAGTGCACACTGATCCACGAACCGGAGTAATAATAATGTAGGGCCGCATGCACTCATTGGGTGGTTAAATTGTTTAACCCCCAACTCCCAAGGCCTGGGTTCGATACCCAATTGGTACAATTTGTGGTTTGAAGCACATCTTTTGGTGAATTTGCTGAAATATTGCAAAAAGCAATGAAAACGCCTACTCCTCACTGTATATGTACCGGAAGGCGTGGCAGACATGACACTGACCAATTTTTTCAGAAATCCGATGTCCAACTCCAGCTGTAACTCGCCACGGTACATTCCACTGCTCCTCGGCCACTGTCCACGCTGTAGGGAGCACGTGCGGACTGACCTGCTCCACGGGGTACCGGCGGAATGTCCACTCCATCTCTTGCCTCTCGGACTCCACGTGGTCAGCTCAACCAGTCTGTACCGGTATGGGGGAGGTTCTCAAACAGTCACATGACACAGGTCTCGTTATTATAGCAATGACTTTGACCGCACTGATATTGAGAGGATGCCCAGTGTCATTTCCGTGGAGGGAATGAGAATTGTCTATCCGGCATTAAAAAACATATTCGGGAAGGAATAATTAATATCACCCCGCTGTCGTTAACAAATAAGTTCGAGTTAAACTGTGTCATTATGTATTGGAGATGGTTTATAGACATTTTCTATCATGTTTTCAAATAGACGGCATTAATATTACATTTTAGCGCGTTCAAATATACTCGTACAATATATATAAAATACGAAGTATATTAATCTCCTGAAGGTACATAATCAAATTTGAGTTTCCAGACAAACAAATTAGTTTTGAACGACCTGAACGAAACACGTGCAAGTGGAAAACCTGGTGTTTCAGCAATCAGATGCCCAACGCCCAAGGCACCGCAGCATGGTTCTTACAGATGCTCCCCCTCGCCATCGACCCATAAACCGACTGACACCTGCAGCCTCACCTGCACCTCGGGGTACACCCCCAGCACCCACACCATCACCTGTCTATCCGACGCCACGTGGTCAGCGGTTCCCTCATGTACCCGTATGTTGATTGATTATACAAATACAATCTTTCACTTTTGGAAAGGGATCATTTCAATAAGTAGCCGCCATTAAATCGAATGTGTTGCCTCACGATATCAAATCTGTACAAAATGTTACCATCTTCAAGAAGAACACGAAGACTCTACTTTTTAATGATTCATATCCAAACCTATTTCTGCTGTCTGGACGGTGACAATGCTTCAAAGCCAACTGCAAGCATCGGTTGCTGGGAACTTATTTTGATCTCGGAATCCGAACGGCTTTGGAATATGTAAAATTGTTCATTTAAGAATTGACCTTCACTTTTTGGAAGTTCATTGGAGTATGAACCTTCATAGAGTGAGGGCCAAACTGTATGAACGTCGGAGCTTGCTTGTTCATTAGGATGGGCCGTAGCGAGGACATTCGTAAAAAATCATGCTGTCAAGCTCTCTTACGTTTCTCAATGTATACTGAAATGCCGAGACCAAGATTAAAGGTTCTAAATGATCAGAAATAATGCTTATGTATGTTTTCGTGCTAGGGAATTCCCAGGGGTTTCCCCAGGAATGTTGAAGTAGTCCGTCAGTGTTTACGTCATTTCAAGAACACGGTCTCGAGAAAAACGTATGAACGTCAAATTGTGTCGATCATACACTTGTGAACGTCAATTTCGCGGTCATGTGACCGACCTCTCGTCCAATGGAAAAGCCGTATATCGTGTAAACGTCAAATTAAAAAAATATTATCCTTTGAGTTTCAAATATTGATGCCAATTATCCGATGCTGTTCTGAATTTACTATGCAGAAATCCGCTGTCCCAGCCCCGCAGCAGCATCACACGGGAGCTACAAGTGTTCCTCTGCCTCCGTACACACACAGGGAGAAACATGTACCCTCACCTGTGCCACGGGGTACACACCCAGCACCTCCACCAACACCATCACTTGTCGACCGGACTCCACCTGGACCGCATCGGCGATATGTGTCGGTGAGTGAGCCAGTCGGTGTGTGAATCAGTGTGTGTTGAAGGTCGCATCTTGATGACCGTCAACCCATGACCACTGACCTTCTGTTAGGAAACCAAGGATACTGATCTTTAAATTAAAACAATCATCAGTACATCATCTGGTAATGCATTTGGATGATCCTTCAAATATATGACGTTTGTCTTCCTACAATTCTGTTTTAACATGCATTTGATCGTTTTAGAAACACGATGTTCAGCTCCTCCTACGGTGACAGGTGGGGTCTACAAGTGTGTTTCAGCAACTGCCAACAAGATGAACGACGTTTGCCATCTTCACTGCAACACGGGCTACAAACCTAGCTCCTCACATTCTGACATCACATGTCTGTCAAGCAGGGCGTGGTCAGCACCATCGACATGCGTGGGTGGGTATAACACTGCAAGGGATTCCGGTGAACTTTGTCTTGTTTGTTTGTTGTTTAACGCGGTACCCACCAATTTTCCCGGTTTATGACGTCGGTCTGTAAATAATCGATCCTAGACCAGACAATCCAGTGATTGACATCATGAGCATCAATCCACGCAATTGGGATACGATGACATGCATCGAACAAGTCAGCGAACCTGACCACCCGATCCCGTTAGTCGCCTCTTACGACAAGCATAGTCGCCTATTACGGCAAGCATGGATTTCTGAAGACCTATTTACCCCGGATCTTCACGGGTCGTGAACTTTGTCACCATCATTGGAAAGTTATTATCATCAGGTACTATTTCTTACAGCTACCATTCAACATGTCAGCGTCCAGCGTGGCCTGTTGAGGACTGACGTGTGATCTCCCCCTAAATCACGATAGCGGATAAATTGATCCAGTTATGATAACGATACCAATTTCTTCTATATTATGCTAAGTGACCCTGAATACTTCTTGATGTGGGTTATCTTCATAATTGACAGAAATTATGTGTCCAACTCCACCCAGTGTCAGCCATGGAACAAACCTGTGTGCTTCGACCAGAGTTCATCGCCTGAACGACGTGTGTCACCTCCGCTGTAGTTCTGGATACAAACCAAGTTCAACGTCCTCAGATGTTCGTTGCCTTTCGCATGGGGCGTGGTCTGCTGTGGTGCCATGTGTTGGTCAGTTCACAAAATTAATCATTAACCTACTTTTGCAATAACATCAAGTCACTTTACATGTATGCCCAAAAACTGATTCCATTGTGTCCAAACAACTTGTATCTTGAAACAATTATTATGTTTGGGATAACACTTCCTTAGTAATGTACAAATTCTAGTACTTTATTTTTGGTTGCGTCCCATCCGGGATACGAACCCACACTCACTAAATGAAAGTCCGATAACTTGTAGTTTAGATCACGTACTTTGTGTACCCCTCTGATTGTGTATTCATAACTTATATCTTTTCGTAGGATCTGTTGTCAGGTATCATATCAAGGATGTTAGAAATTGAAAATGCACCAGTTAGTATTTTTTTACAAATAGACGTTGAGGCAGAAGTAAAACGTATTCCTTTCCTTAACACTCAACATTTTGGTGTCAGATTGTTGACACCAGGTTGATTGTAGGCATATTGTCTATTGAATCCACAAACCTTCTCACTTTTCCAGAAATACGTTGTCCCAGTCCCCAAGCCGCTTCCCACGGTTCATTAAACTGTTCCTCCGCCAACCGTGAAATAGGCAGCACCTGTAACCTGACCTGTGCAGCGGGATATGAACCCAGCGTCCACACCATCTCCTGCCTGGCGGACGCCACGTGGTCGGAACAAACCTCCTGTATCGGTTCGTTATATCCCTGCACATATTTATTAGACACTGGGGTTCCAGTCAGTCAACACAAGTCTCAGAACATCCACAGACAGCAATGTTGTATCATGGCGTCCGGTGTAAAGCCATCAGGTCCAGGGAAACCAATACCTACGGAATGATCAACGTCCCCGCCGTGAAGTACCAAGGCACTGGAATCATACTCTGTCATATGGTCCTACTCCTAATTGTTTCTTTGGATGAACACGATGTTCATAATGTTCAAACACAGGATGATCATCTACTGCAAGCGTTGATGATGATGATGATGGTGGTGATAATAATAATAGTGAGTATGGTTTTACGCAGCATTGGCAATAATCCAGCCATTTCATGATGGGGGACACCAAAATGGCCCCTCATTGTTCAAATATGGAGAATTGAACCTGGGTCTTTATCGTGACGAGCCAATACTTTAATCACATGACTACCTCATCCCCCAGGCGGTTAGAAGCTGGTCCTTGTTTATTTTGTCAGAACATTGTCCAACACAAAACATGTCTTTTCACCTTCAGGAACACGGTGTCCCAGTCCAGCAGCAGGTCGACATGGCTCGTTCAATTGTTCATCCCCTGCCCATAGCATAGGCAGCGCATGTAGCCTCCATTGTGCTGCAGGGTATGAGCCAAGTGTCCACACCATCACCTGCCTTCATGATGCTACTTGGTCGGAACAAACATCCTGCATTGGTATGCATGAATAAATTCATTTGAAAAATCGATCCGCCATTCAGATCATTAGCCAACACCATGGGAGATAAAACACCCTGTATTAGAATGTAGAATTTTAATATACCGATTTATATATGTGTTCTTCATATGTGTGAAGATAAGCATATTCAAACCGTACATGCACATATCCTTGAAGTCCCTGCGAGAAATAGGGGCAGACAAGGTCCTTGCAGTCTATGCTTGCCGTAAGGGCGACTTGCATGTACAGCAGTGTGGTCACGTTCGGTGACTTGGATGTTTGTGTGTCATAAACGCGTACGTCGTGAGACGTTAAGGGTAAAGCATTTTTGTACCGGCCACTGTGATAAGGTTTCAATAATACTGAGTGTGGTGTAAAAACAAATTCACTTACTAATGTTTCAGGGATACGGTTGTCCAAGACTGTCAGCAGTGAGTCATGGATCCCTCAACTGTTCCTCCCCAGCCAGTACAGTAGGCAGCACCTGTAGACTCACCTGTGCTGCTGGATACCAACCCAGCGTCCACATCATCTCCTGTCTTGCTGATGCTACCTGGTCGGAACAAACTTCCTGTATCCGTACGTAAACTACACAACTATGTCTGTCGTTGTTTGTCTGCTGATGTCATCTTTCCACCTTTCCTTGCCACACTTCCGCGCAGTAATGACTTAGCATTACACCACTGCCACAAGCTAACTTACATATCGCGCAACCGGACACGTTTATTCTGAAATCAGAACAGCCTGGATTAATGCAAGCCTTTCGGTGTGCTTTACGCATTGTTTTGCAAAACTTATAGATGAGCTACTACAAATGCGACACTGAGGTGTACGACAATATATGTTTATACATCAAAGTGACCGTTAGGCAAGCTTGATGACAGCTGGGCTACGATGACAGCACACGAGACGTACAACAAATGTAAACAAAAGAAAACTACGCAAATTGAAATAGTTTTTATCTCAATGAAAGTTAACCACTCTTTGACATGTGCTTATCTAGATATGTAGACTCGTCAAATATGAAACATGAAAAATATATGTAATATCGTGTATGGGCTGTGTAAGATGTCTCGAATCGTCATGTGACGCCGGCCTGTGGCACAGGTATTATGCTGGCCGCAAAGAACCCTAAGTAGAAAGGTGCTTTGCTTTGCATACTGGTCACGTGATCTGCACAAGTGTCTCCTTGATGCTCCAATGCCCGCCGCATTATCTTGTTCAGGTACACATGTACTCGCAACAGTCTCTACATGGAGGTACTGATTTGCGCATTTACCGCGTACGTTCCCAACTGTTTTCGTGCTGTTTGGCAAATGTTTTAAAAACTGACGACCATTATCTATTTGGTGGCGTTTCTTTTGCCCGCTAGTTTATCTACTGTGACATTTTGTCCTGGACGGCGCCAGTACAAGTCATATGTGGACAAAATTGAACTTTGAAACTTCTGTCGTCTTGTGCCAGTTCAATGTACTGTAAATTGTCAAACAAGTAAATTTGTCAAATAGTTGGAAAGTCATCTGTCATCCCGTATGGTGCTAGTTATCCATTATTTAAAATTATTTCGGGGGATTTTCAATATATAAATAGTATAATTAATATAATCATGAGTATATTTAATAAGTATGCCTCAGACTGTTGAAAATGGTTCTCTCATTACCTTCCTATGGTAATAAAGCGGTGAAGAGATATGAAAACGTTCGCCCGTCTCGCCGAAGACCCGGGTTCGATTCCCTGCATGGGTACAATGTATGAAGCCCATTTCTGGTGTCCCCCGCCTTGATATTGCTGGAATCTTGCTAAAAGCGGCGTAAAACCATACTCACCCACTCAACTTTGGGCTATGAAGCATTTTCTTCTACTTCATTAGTCTACAATCATCAAGAGACATATCTCCATCCTCCAGGACCGCGCTGCGCCAATCCAGTTCCAGTAAACCACGGGTCCTTCAACTGTTCCTCCTCTGTGCACGTGACTAGTGTATTTGATTTGGGAAATTTGATTTGTGCTTCTAGGTTTGTCAGCACCATACCCGTTCTCGTGGGTGGTAAACACCTGCGACCTGCATCAGTTCTGGCTTTCCCCTACATGAAGCTGACGCGCAGTGATATGACTAGATTGTTGTTAAAAGCAACGTTAAACCCAACTCACTCACTCACTGGTCAGAAGTTTCAAATCACAATAACCATCTCCATTTGCATAAGGTACAGGTTGGGTTCCATATCAATGACGCGCCATTCAATCGACATTGAAATCACAGAACATTAATCAGTATGAAATTTCAATGTCTGTTAAATGGTATAGATAAGTTGATTATGCCAAAATAGTCCATGTAGATTCACCACGCAATGTTGTACACAGACAAATATGTAATAATGGTTGAAGTATCTGTAACATAGGCATGCGGCTTTATATTGATTGTTTGGTTGGTTGATTAGATGCTTGCTTGTTGGATGGTTGGATGGCTGGTTGCATGGTTGGTTGGATGGCTGCTTGGTTGCTTGTTGGATGGTTAGTTGGTTGGTTGGTTGGTCGGTCGGTCGGTTGATTAATTGATTGATTATTTGATTTATTTATTTATTGACTTACTGAATGATTGACGTCTTTGATGTATGTTCCAGGAATCCGATGTCCTGCTCCAACTGCTCCACCAGATGGTTCCCTCAACTGTTCCTCGACCACAGTCTATAGGCCCGAAGACACCTGTGACATCACCTGTGCTACAGGGTACACGCCCAGCATCCACATCATCTCCTGTCTCCCAGACGGCACGTGGTCGGCCAGACCAACCTGTGTCGGTACGGCGGGTACACTACATGCAATGCTTCATGCTGCATCCATTTCAAAGGCTGCGATGAATACCCGGATCTATTTGAACAAACCTGTTCACCTCTTTGCTTGGGAAGCATGCTTTCAGAATTGTTGGTCGCAACATAACAGACCAAGAACAATAATGTGCAGTCCTCTGTGGGTGGATATCAGATTGAATAAATAAGGGCGTTTGTTTGAAATTCCAAGGATGGAGTCCTGATATGTCGTTGTATCACAATTATACTGGATGTGGTCAATTTGTTCAAACTGAAAGTAACTCTACTCAGAAATAATCATATACTCACATATGTGAGATTTATACTATCTTTAGTAAATTCAGGTATGTATTAGATGCTGTGCCAGGCTTCAAGCTCCTCAGTTTTCTCTTTGCATAGGAATCATATTTTTGACGACTCCACCAATGTTGAAAATGAAGAACCATTTCATATCTGGATCAATTCTTATAAATTCAAAACCTCTGTACCAAGCTTTATCACAAGAGGAATAATTTCCTTTCTCCAATCGAAACTGTATGTAAAAAAATACAGCATGAGATCCAGCCAGCGGCGTCAACATGTCTGATTTGCTTAAGTACTTGAAAGCATGTACGTTTTATTCTGCATGTAAGACTTATTTTACTAACAGCTAAGCTTTCAATCTAGGTGCCACCATCAAAGGTCTGGCTGAGTCCTTCCAGTGATGTTATCATGGAGGTGCAAAGGAACGTACTAAATAATACACGCAGCTTGTCAGCATGATGCTCGATGCTTTCCAATACACACCTCCGTACTCACTGGCACATTCTTTAAAGAACCGACCATAATAAAAAAAATTAAATGTCATTTTATATGGGAGTCAACTTGTTTTTGTCAACAATCTAAAGCATAATTGTTCTTTTCAAAAAGTTTCGAGGATTTAATAAAAACATTCGATGAAATCGGGATGGTGTTGATTGCTAAGTTGGGCAGCAAATAAACAACATTAATACTTCTTTATGGAAGTTGTGTGAGTCGACATACATCTATAAACTTATGTAGCGCCGCTAAAATCCCGTTCAAATCTGATCAGAAGTCCTTGTGAAAACAGCTGGTGTTACATGTTGGAGATGTTCATAAACGATCTCTGAACGTGATTGTCTGTAACGGCTTCTGATGTAAATGATCTGCTTCTCCGTGTTAACTGTTTTATCACTAGAAGCTGATAACGTGATCTTAGTGCCCCGGTAGGCAGGCACGCGTGGATGGTATTTCGGTTCTTGACTCTGCTGTGTTGGGAATAAAAGCAAATAGATTTTCTATTCAATATTCATATTTAAGTGAAGATGTACATTTCAGACAGTCGTTGTCCGAACCCACCCACAGTACAGCATGGAATGTTCAAGTGCTCTGACACCGATGGATATTACCAAGGGGACACGTGTGACCTTCTCTGTGATGCAGGATACAGGCCCAGTAGTACCTTCCAGATCATCAGTTGCCGGTCTGACAACGTGTGGTCCCCATCCGCGACTTGTGTTGGTACCTGTCACTACTTGTACCCACGTTTGTTTGTTTGTTTGTTTGTTTGTTTGTCTGTTTGTTTAACGCTACGCACAGCACTATCCCAGCTAAATGACGTTGGTCTGTAAATAATCGAGACAATCCATTGATTTGTATCACGAGCATCGATCAACACAATTGGGATACGATAACATGTTTCGAGCAAGTCAGCGAGCTTGAACATCCGATCCCATTAGTCGCTTCTTACTACAATTAAAACACATCTGTGACGTCATTCCATTGTTTGAACGCTCCATTATTTTTCAGGAATGGAGAGTTGCTTGTCAACTGTACATTATCTTAAACAACATTTGAATTAATTTCCACTTGGAACAGACGGAACTATTTTTTTACATTTATTTACAAGTGAATATTTTTTTTTTTCCGAAAACATGTGTCGCAAGCGGGGTTCGAACCCGTATCGTTAGATTTGAAAACGTGAAATTGTCAACCTCAGCTACTGCGGCACTTGAGAGATGTGAAATTAACTATTCAATATTTTCACAATTTTGCATAATGCTTAAAAGCTCAAAATAATATGTATATAGTTTGTGTTAGAGCACGTTACCCTCAACAATGTTCATATTTATAGATAGTTAGACAAACCTTAGACGAGAAAAAACAAATAAGGTAACATAAATATCGCTTGTTCGGGGCTCTATATTTCCAATTATACCCATCAGCATGTATTAACAATGTGCAAGCGATTGATAAATACTAGTTTAGGACCCAACACAATTATGAAGAGCCGTGTACCATGCATTGTAAATGTCAACTCGCCACGGAGCTTGGCGCACAGGCAACAGCGGCAGAGAACGTATTCCTCGTGCATAACGCAAGGTCGACTCACGCAGTAAAAATACGGACAACAAAGAGTTCTGGTTTATTTTTCAAATATTTTAAACTACAGAATATTTTGTCAAAGTTTAAAAGTAGGGATGAGTTTTAAGTTGGGGAAAATCCTCGTAACTCTCCATTCCCTGCGGGGCCTCTGCTCCATTATTTTTAAGGAATGGAGAGTTACTCGGACACTCCCCTCTACGTACAGTCACCTCTTACGACAAGCATGGGTTGCTGAAGACCTATTATTACCAACGTACAGTCACAGGCACCTTTGGAACTATATAGGCTTCTAGCATTCATTCCAACGTTCCATATCGGATACACTAATTTAGAGTTTCCTGGTTGCAAATCTTTCATCCGACAAATTATTGTTCATGGAATTCATGTTCATGGGCTTCACACATTGTACGCATGTCGGGACTCGATCCCGGGTCTTCGGCGTGACGAGCGAACGCTAAAACCACTAGGCTACCCGACCGCCAATGTTAAAGTGAGAAATTAAGAGAACGATGAGCAAATTGTAATGTAACTGAGGCACATCTTTATTTATAAAATTTAGAGATAAGCTGCCCTGTACCTCTACCAGTCAACCACGGGTCCCTGAACTGTTGGTCAAGGACAGTCCACCCTGAAGGGGGTACCTGCAGAGTGGCCTGTGATGAAGGGTACAGACCAAACGTACACACAATCACCTGCCTGGGCGATGCCACCTGGTCGGACACAGCTTCATGTAACGGTAAATATGTTTATTAAAGTCGGTTGGAAAGGGTTATCCGAAGAAACTTGGACAAAATGAGTATAGCTACTTGAGAATTTCGCATAATTTTGTAAAGATGTGTAAGAAGCTATGGCTTCCCGAGTGGTTGTTGTTTGTGTGCTTACATTTCCAGTCATAGTTTGAGGATATGGTTCATTGTAACAGAAACGTTGTGTCCGCCTCCGCCTGTGACGCCTCATGGCTCCTTCAACTGCTCTGACCTCGTCCACCACAAACTTGGGGACACGTGCAAGCTGACCTGCCGTACAGGATACAGCCCCCTCCTCCACACAATCACTTGTCTCTCTGACTCAACATGGTCAGACTCCACCTTCTGTGTGGGTAGGTACAACAGGGTCAGACTCCACCTTCTGTGTGGGTAGGTACAACATGGTCAGACTCCACCTTCTGTGTGGGAAGGTACAACATGGTCAGACTCCACCTTCTGTGTGGGTAGGTACAACATGGTCAGACTCCACCTTCTGTGTGGGTAGGTACAACATGGTCAGACTCCACCTTATGTGTGGGTAGGTACAACATGGTCAGACTCCACCTTCTGTGTGGGTAGGTACAACAGGGTCAGACTCCACCTTCTGTGTGGGTAGGTACAACAAGGTCAGACTCCACCTTCTTTCTGGGTAGGTACAACATGGTCAGACTCAACCTTCTGTGTGGGGAGGTACAACAAGGTCAGACTCCACCTTCTGTGTGGGTTGGTACAACAGGGTCAGGCTCCACCTTCTGTGTGGGTAGGTACAACATGGTGAGACTCCATGTCCTGTGTGGGTAGGTACAACATGGTCAGACTCCACCTTCTGTGTGGGTAGGTACAACATGGTGAGACTCCACCTTCTGTGTGGTTAGGTACAACATGGTGAGACTCCATGTCCTGTGTGGGTAGGTACAACATGGTCAGACACCACCTTCTGTGTGGGTAGATACAACATGGTCAGACTCGATGTCCTGTGTGGGTAGGTACAACATGGTCAGACTCCACCTTCTGTGTGGGTAGGTACAACATGGTCAGACTCCATTTTGTGTGTGAGTAGGTACAACATGGTCAGACACCACCTTCTGTGCGGGTATGTACAACATGGTCAGACTCAAGTTTGTGTGTGGGTAGGTACAACATGGTGAGACTCCAACTTCTGTGCGGGTATGTACAACATGGTCAGACACCACCTTCTGTGTGGGTATGTACAACATGGTCAGACTCGATGTCCTGTGTGGGTAGGTACAACATGGTCAGACTCCACCTTCTGTGTGGGTAGGTACAACATGGTGAGACTCCACCTTCTGTGCGGGTAGGTACAACATGGTCAGACACCACCTTCTGTGTGGGTATGTACAACATGGTCAGACTCCACTTTGTGTGTGAGTAGGTACAACATGGTGAGACTCAACCTTCTGTGTGGGTAGGTACAACATGGTGAGACTCCACCTTCTGTGTGGGTAGGTACAACATGGTGAGACACCACCTTCTGTGTGGGTAGGTACAACGTGGTCAGACTCGATGTCCTGTGTGGGTAGGTACAACATGGTCAGACACCACCTTCTGTGTGGGTAGGTACAACATGTTGAGACTCCACTTTGTTTGTGAGTAGGTACAACATGGACAGACTCAACCTTATGTGTGGGTAGGTACAACATGGTGAGACTCCACCTTCTGTGTGGGTAGGTACAACATGGTCAGACTCCATGTCCTGTGTGGGTAGGTACAACATGGTGAGACTCCACCTTCTGTGTGAGTAGGTACAACATGGTGAGACTCCATGTCCTGTGTGGGTAGGTACAACATGGTCAGACACCACCTTCTGTGTGGGTAGGTACAACATGGTCAGACTCCACCTTCTGTGTGGGTAGGTACAACATGGTGAGACTCCACCTTCTGTGTGGGTAGGTACAACATGGTCATGGTCAGACTCCATGTCCTGTGTGGGTAGGTACAACATGTTGAGACTCCACCTTCTGTGTGGGTAGGTACAACATGGTGAGACTCCACCTTCTGGGTGGGTAGGTACAACATGGTCAGACACCA